TCTGCCTTCAGCTCCAGAATATATCAGAGGATATGTTAAAGAAAACAAAAAAGAAAAAATAAGGAAAATCTAGTATTCATGTTTGAAGCTAGGCTGGTGTCATCAATATTCCAGAAATTCTGTGCTGGTGTGCTGGTGTGCACAGACAGGGTTGTGTTGGAGGATGTGTGAAAGCTGGACTCATCATTCCCCTCGAGGCCTCCTCTGTCCCCACCTCACAGGGTAAGAACAAGCAATGCAGGCAGAAACTCGATCTTGAATGGAGAAGAATATACCTAACAATGCTGTACCCAGTGAAGTTGTCATTTACATATGAGGAAGACAGAAAGATATTCTCTTACTTCAAGGTCATGGACAGGATTCAACTCCTATTCTTACTAATGTAACCTGACTGCTGGAGGATTGAACCAGGGATGAACATAAGAATAGACAATTTATGGTATCACAGGACTCCTGGTCAGCAGAGAAAGCAGTTAAATTAGAGTATCTCAATTATTGTTAACGTAATGGCAAGCTTAATGTAAATGTGAAAATTAGTCTAAAAGATACAGATCGTAGAAAATCTAAAGATAATAATATTAGCTGAAGATGACAACCAACCAACCAAAATGTAAAAATGGAAAGTGTGAGGTATAGAAATGAAAGGTGGGCAAAATTCCTTTTATGTGAAGGGGTTTACCAGACTCAAATAATTAGAAAGAAATATTTTTAGAGAAATCTAAAAGTGCTGCCTTAAATTAAAATAGGATGTATATCTTTCTCATAACTAGAGAAAAATATATTTATTAAAAAACTATCAGAAATACAAGGAGAATGTGGAAGGATAAATTTAGAGTAGCAATTATACATACAATATGTTAAATAATAGGGTCAAAAAGATACATTAAATAATGCATTTAAAGCATTACTCATGGAACACAGACAAAACTCCAATGTATTAATTCACAAAAAAACTTAAATTCCAAAAGACAGATATTCTTCAGGACACCTTTTTGAATCCAATGCAATGAACTAGAATAAATAATTAACTAATACCCAGGCATCTCAAAATTTTAGGATATTCTTTTTGGAACAAAGGCAAGACAAAATTAGAAATATGGCTATTCAGAAAGTTGCAACAAAGCAGGGCTTGGAGGGGGAGAACCACAAATATATTAGAAATTTTAGATATACTGTGTAGCATCTATGCTAGAACATTTAAAATATCGATGAAATGCATGAGTTTTCAAGGAAATTACAAATGATATTGAGGAATAAGGAACGAACCTAAGGTTTCTGATTGGCAATCTGATGGTTGATGGCTATTCACTCAAAGTTGGGTGAGCTTGGGGTATCTTAGGTGGGTGGAGTCTATGGGCCAGCCCTGTGGAAATTTCCAGCCAATACCTGGACAGATAAGGCAGAATCTCAGGCAAGCTATCTGGACTGGAGATAAAGATTTGTGATAGTCAGCATGACATGGAAATCATAGGGGACACTGATGAGGTTCATGAGGGAGAATATAGAGCCAAACAGAAGACTGGCTTGGCAATGGGCATGAGGAGCAGCAGTGTCTACAAGACGGAGGAAGAGCGGTCCTCAAAGTGGGCTGAGATGGCGTGGCTGGGGAGGTAGGAGTGCAACAGGGCAGTGCACATTTAAGAAAGGTGATGGGTGGAAGAATTTCCAGCAGGAGAGTATTTCCAGTGTCATAACTTGCACTTATGATAAGAATGGAAAAATTCTGGGGTGTCAGGGTGACTCCATCGGAAAAGTGACTGACTCTTGGTTTCAGCTCAGGTCATGAACTCAGGGCCATGGGATTGAGCCCCAAGTCAGGCTCCACTCTCAGTGGAGAGTCTGCTTGGGATTCTCTCTTTCCCGCTCTCTCTGCTCTTCCCCTCTTCCCCCTCTCTCTCAAATAAATAAATCTTAAAAAAAAAGAAGAAAAGAATGGAAAAGTTCCTCTTGATTTGGCTAAAATATTATTGGTGACTTTGACAGAAATTTCACAGACTTCTTTCAAACTTTTAGTCAAGAGATAATATCCATGCTGTGTAAGTGTTATAGAGCATAGGATAAAATATAGAAAGCTTCTCAATTTATTTTTCAAAGCTGGTATAAAATAATAATCAACCAGAAGCTGGCCAATACCATGTACACAATCCCAATTATTAATATGGACACATAAACTCCCGGCAACAGTAATAGTAACCGATCCTTGTTGAGTGCTCAATAGGTGCTAGGCACTATTCTCAGTAACTTAATTGATTTAATCCTTACACCAGGAATTTAAGAAAATGTTAACAAATTGTATTCAGAAATATACTAAGCAAATTATATACCACATCCGTGACTAAAAGTTTAATTGTGAAATATTGGGAGATCTATTATAAAATATAAGTTGGTTAAATGAGAAAATTTATGACTGGAATTTCCTAAAATTCTAAGAAGTTCTGGTAAAAACCCTATTGAAGCATGAGAACTAATTTGATGGTGAAATGTTACCGTTATTCCCATTCAGAGAAAAACAAGCAAGAATATTCACCATCATCCTCATTTTTAGACAGTTTGGGACATTTTAGCCAACACAAGAATGAGATTAAAGAACTAAATGGAATTAATATACAGACAAAATATGTAGATGCTGTGAATGTATGATCCTAAGAATGAGCAGTAATAATGACATCTGTCGGGGGTTTGGTTACAAAATAACAGATAGCTACCATTGGTTAAGAACTTCTGCACCAAGAACTGTGTTGAGGGCATTATATCAATGGTTTCATTTAATTTTGACAGCAAACCCATGAGATGGATTTTAAAACATAAGCTTACAGAAATTAATAGTGGAGCTAGAATTCAAACCCAAGATCTATTTGACTCTAAAGCTGATTCTTTTAATGACTCTGCCATATACCACCACGCACTCCCCTCACACGCTGCCTGAATGGACATATAAAAACCAAAAGGGTTTCTAGACACTAGTAAAATTCTTAGAAAATATGATGAGGGAGTAATCATATTTACAAGAAAGATGATAAAAAGTGAAATACATAGCAAAAAAACCAAAAATGAAATATAAAAAATTTATTCCCTAGATGATAAGCACATTTTACTGGTGGAGCTAAAGGAGAAGAATTCATATATGTTTGTATATGTATATGCAAATACACACATGTATTTCGTGTGTGCGTGTGTGTGTGTGTGTGTGCATGCGTACTTATGGAATTGGGATGGTCTTTCTACCTATAATACCTAAGGACAAATTGGGATATGATATTGTAACATGGTGACAGAGCATTAAAAATATTAATATGTAAAGTGTGTTTTAAAAAAAATAAAATGACTAATCCCCAATAGAAAAGAGTGCAGAAAGTATCAACAAGCATTTCATAAAAGAAAAAATTAAAATGATCAGCAAGTGTAAGAAAAAGCTCTTCAATCTCACTGATGAATAATCATATAGAAGTGAGCACATGCATTGCTGGCGGGATGATGAATTTGTACATTCTTCTGAGAAGTGTTCAATGGGATGTGTGTTAGTCCTTAAGTATAAATTATAGTTTTTGGTCCAGTAATTCTGATTCTTGGAATTTTCCAATTGAAATCATTAAAGCTATACACAGCGGATAATTATTGCTCTGATTTTTATAATAGTGAGAAATTAAGGATCACGTTAAATGCCAAGCATTAGGAGTCATTTAAATAAATTATAGACCATGTCATGGAAAAATATGCAGGAATTTTAAATAATGTTATAAAAGAATAATTAATAACCTGGGGAAAAGTTTGATATATTGTTAAGTTGATAAAAAGTAGGTTATGTAACACTGTGAATAAGATGTCTCTGAATAATTTTAACTATGTGTGTGTGTTTAAATCTGGAAGGATATAAGCAAAAATGTTAACCCCGATCATCTCTGAAATGGTGAGGTTATGGATGATTGTATTTTTCCTTCCACATTTAAATTTTTTTTTATAATTCTTTTAAACAAAAGGTGTTGCTTTGATACTTAGAATAACAGCAACAAATATTCACAAAACATATGTGCAAAAAAGGAAGATTAAAAAGGAAATACACCCTCCTGTGTTTACTGCTGCCTAATGGGAGTGCAGGTGGTTATTATTTTATTCTTTGCATCTTTTTTCTTTACTTTGATCATGCATTAATTACGAAACTATAAAATTTAAACAACAGACTTTTAAGAAGTCAAGGAAGAGAGGAAAGAGAAAGGAGAAGGGACTCAACTCCAGAAACTCTTTAGCACAGTAGAAATGCTGAGCTAGGTCATTCTTTCACTCCCTCCCTCCCTCATTTTACAATCGTGGACACTAAGCGCTAAGTGCCTCCTATGTGCCGGGCACTGTCTTCCACAATGAGCACACAGGGGCAAAACAAAGCAAGTATGCGTTCTGATTCTATGACGCTTTCAGCATATGGTGGAGCCTGACATCAAATGAATGTACATGTAGCAAATGGTAATTGCAAATTCTGAAAGTGTATTATGCATAAGAACAGGGCTTTATGAGAATAAACTCACAGAAGGTTTGTATATGTATGAATGTAAATATTTGAGAGAATAAGAAAAAGTGATAATTAGGAGAATGAATAGATGATAAAGGTATACTTGGGAAAGAGAAGGGGGAAGAAGGAAAAGCATGTAAGGGTAGTTTATTGTCTTCGTGAAAAACTGGGATATGGGTGATTGTGTAATATTTCTGATTATTTGAGAGTGAGCAGAGAATTGTAAGTTGTGTGCACTTAGGGCAGAAATAATAAAATAAGTGTAATCATCCTGACATTTTGAAATATCATTCTAGTGCAAAGACATTAAACTACTATGAATTCCAAACTTATAAATGTGAATTAGCCAATGTCACCTTTATCCTTAACTAATTGTATCCGTTATGAATCAATTCTCGGATAATACCAGCACCTTTCTATTGCGGGTGGAAGACTTAATTAGAGGCTTTGTTTATGGCCATGAAACACACTCAAAAAGAGGACTTTTATTTTTCAGCATTAAATGAACCCACCATAGACTATGGCTTTCAGAGACTGCAGAAGGTCATCCCAAGGCATCCTGGAGACCCAGAGAGATTAGCTAAGGTAAAAAAAAACACTTTGGAAATTGATAGGTGAAAACCTTATTATGGGATTTCAGCAAACTTAGATAATTCCTGCAAATTAAGTCCCTTTAAAATTACATTAGGCCCTGAAATTTGGCTAAGCTTCAGATACACATAAAATATCTCCTAACTCTGAGATATATTGTGATTAATATCCGGGGGAATAGGAAATCTGAAAAGTTGGTCCTATAAAACAGATACACCAGAAGTATCCAGCTTATGAAACATTGCCAACTTTATGAAAATAAATAATTGCATAATGGCTTAAAAATGTAAGTTCCCATGCCTTTGTATTTGAATATAATTTTATTCACTCATTAATTGCCGGGACACGTTAATCCGCAGTCAAGTATTCATCGAGGGACTACCCTGTATATAAGTATTTAGTGAAGTGAAAAATGCCTCCATAGAAAATTTCTATGAAATGTTTTGCTTTTAAGTGAACTTGCTTATGACAATTATATCATGAATCTGGCCCGTTATTCTAGCTTTCTTCATTGAAAAATACATTAACTTATTAGGTATTCAATCAATGAGACGTTATTAAATTTTAACATCTACATTTGCATTTTGAGCACACACATTATCATATGCCGTGTTCTCTTTTCTGTTCTGTGAGTAAAATTCAAGTACCACATTTGCTTCTGCATCACACCTTTATTTTCCTCTTGGAAAAATCCCCAGCCCCACCATTAAATTAGATGATATCTGGAAAGTAGGTTAATAGCAATTTAAAAGGCTGTTAAAAACAGGAGGTGGAAAAGACAAAATGAGACGAAAGGGATTACTGATGACTAATTCTCTCTGGTTAAAGTGAACAGGGGGAAATATTATTGAAAGAATTCATCTTTATTAGAATAAAATTTTGCAGAAGGCGCTGCCAAGATAATTTCAGTATTACGAACAACTCCTTGGCAAGCAGCTAAACTCAGGTCAGTCAATCATTCTAAAAATTTTTGGCTAATTTAGAGTCCCAGATTCTTTAATGGAATGGTCTGAAAGTTTTTAATGGCACTTCCATGACTTTAGTAATTGTAACCAACTCCACCTATTTTGGGGGTGCAATCATGGATGGAACCATTTTATCTAGATGAATTCCATGTAGATACATATTTAGAGAGGGATTTATGTGTACAGTTATATTCTGCCTGTCAAACCAAATATAGGACCTCATAGCCAGTTATTTATATTTTAGGGAGGATGTTTGGACTTTTTATTTTATACATAATTTTCCTTTGAGTTGGCCACTGGGGGGTCTGACCTTCGCTTATACCTCACCCTTTCTGCTCTTTTTCTAGGAGATGCTATTGAAAAGAGCTGCAGACCTAGTGGAGGCCCTCTATGGCACACCACACAACAACCAGGTTAGGTGCTCCCATCTTACACTCTGTTGAGTTTGACTCTTCGTGCTGGATAAAAATGCTCACCTCAACCTGCCATTTTGTAGGACATCATTCTGAAGCGAGCTGCAGACATTGCTGAAGCCCTGTACAGCGTCCCCAGGAATCCCAGCCAGATTCCAGCTCTCTCCAGCTCCCCAGCTCACAGTGGCATGATGGGCATCAACTCGTATGGTAGCCAGCTTGGGGTCAGCATCTCGGAGTCAACACAGGGAAATAATCAAGGTACTACCCTTTCTCAGAGTCAAAATTCTGAACGCCTTATCCATTTACAAGGGTGGTTTTGCTTGAGTGGAGGGAGGTAAAGCTTGATTCATATACCATCAAAAAAGAGTGTGCCCAGATAAGCCGTGCAATCATATATTGGATTATTCCAACCTGATTGGTGGTGTTTTGTGAGATTTGGGGCTTTTTAGGACCCAGGTAGAATCCCTTTGATTGCAAATATTTAAGGTCATGATGAACTGTGACTTACTTAGAAGGGTTTTGACTTCCTGACTTACAGGTATAATTTGACTAAAATGTCCACTTTTGCTATTGTGATTATCAGCTGAGCCAGAGTGGTTTGGTTTCCTTTAGTGACTTCTGTTTGTGTATTGTCTCATATGCAAACGCAGAGCAACACACTTTCAGTTAACTGTGCTTTTCACACGTGAAGTATATCGCGTCAAGATTTTTGTCATTGAGGTTGGTTTTATTAAGGTGCTAAGCTGATCACGAATCATTTTTTTTAAAGGAATAAATTTCCTAAGGATGCCCCTAACCTTAGTTTTATTTCCAATTTCATTCATCCATTGGAAGAGAATTCTTCATTCTCATGCCCAGGGTGAGTTTTTCTTACAGAAGGGTGGGTGTGGACATATGATTGCTTTTTTTTTTTTTTCCTTCAAATTGAGGTCATTTCTTAAATAGCTTTAGAAACTGTTATCCAAAGCGGGTTATTTCAGGATGTCTCTGTGCTGGGGTTTCAGAAGTATGGGGAGGATTTGTTGTCCCTTCTCCATTCCTCCCACAGACCAGATCTCTCTGCACTCAATTGCTGATGCTTCCACATCTTTGGCCAAAGAATAGCACATTTAGATGAACTTAACAACAATTTTTAAATAAAGATGTTCCCCACCCCCACTCAGGGCATGGTAAAAACCTTGACCTAACATTTCCAAAGGTATGATCTGCGGGGTATGAGTGGCCCTTGGGATGTTATTAGGATGCCTTTTGCCCACCATTCCCAGCAAAGAGACTGTGTGGTGTGCTAAATTTGGGAAACACTAGGTTAGCAAAGTTAAACTGTTTTGTTTATTCTCTAGGTCCCATGTAAGTGAATCTTCAAGGAATGGCTACAGTACACAACATCTGCCAGGCTTTACTTGACCACAGAACACTTGCCTCAGTGATAGCCATTAAGATCTCACAGGGCTCTCATGTGTTAGGAAGTTTAGTCGTCACTCCTTGGTGTGAGCTGGAGATGTTGACTGCAAAAGGGAACAAAGAGGAAGGAGGGACTGTCAGGGACATGGCCTTGTGTAGGATGGGGAAGGGAGATAAAGGCTGAAGACAAATTTAAGACTTTCCACCCCTGCCCAGGAGTGGCTTGGTGGTGTTCTATAGTCTGGGGACCATGTGGGCCCATGCCACCATATTTGGCCTGTGCTGGATGTGTGTGCCAGTTCATTTATCTGGGCTTTTTCCTTGTCCAGGGTATATCCGCAACACAAGCAGCATCTCTCCGCGAGGCTACTCTTCCAGCTCCACCCCCCAGCAGTCTAACTACAGCACCTCCAGTAACAGCATGAATGGCTACAGCAATGTCCCCATGGCCAACCTGGGCGTCCCAGGGTCACCAGGATTTCTAAACGGCTCCCCCACAGGCTCCCCTTATGGAAGTAAGTGCCCTTTCCATCTGTCCAGCTCTCTCTGTGTCTCTGTCCCTGGGTTTTACTCTTCAGCCTTTTGAGGGAGAGTTACACCCCTACATCTTACTGATTTGTAGAGGAGTAGCCTAATTTCCCGAGGAAATTTCCGTCCTGCCTTTTGTTCTTTTCCCTTAGCTAGACTTTGGTGCACTTAGTTGCTCAAAGCCTTCTGAAGGAAAGAAAAGGAGTGAAACTATTTGCTTTGTACAAAGAAAGGGTAGATGTATGTGGCTGTGTGGATGGGGCTGAGGAACAAAGATTCCGTCTCAGTTAACGTTATGCATGCTCTTCATTAGGCACTTTCAGTTGTAATATTTTCTTTAATCCTCATAAGAACTTTTTCCTTGCTGTGGATGAGGACGTTGCGGTGCACAGAAGTTAACTCATCCAAGATCACACCGCTAGGGTAGAGCAGGGCGATCATTTGAACACAGTTTGTGGCTTGGTTATTTTGTGTGTCACACCACGCTCCTGTGTCACTTTTTTACATGACCCTCCCTTCCTTGTGTACCTTCTGAGAAATGGAATTTAGCTACTCATGAGAGAGTGATCTGAGATGGATTTCTTAATCCTAATCTGGGCTAGCTAGATATCCTAGGGGTTTGTGAAAGCTCATTTGGGTTGCTTTGAGGGCCAAGAAGCCTGAGAGAATATGTGTCTTCGAAATTACCTAGGGAATACTTCAGGCCCGGGGAGAAGCCACCATGGAGAGTCTGTATGAGTGGGTGGAATGTTCTTGAAATGCTGGTTCCCGTTGCCAAGGCTCTAGAGCAGACCCTCTGTTCACCCAGGGTGGTTCCCTCATGCCAAGAACAAGAACAAGTCAAGGACAGCACACAGCCATTTCCACCGCAGCTCAGGGAGTGATACGCCAAGGATCTGGAAGCTGCCTTTCTCAGCCTTGTTGGTTCTCTGGGGACACACACCCACGAGTTAATTCTGGGTTATCTATTCACTTCATTACCCTCAAGAGTCTACTCAATGGGATAAGGACATAATAACCAAGTAGCAGAGGTATTAGAGGCTGGTTCTTCTGCTAAAACTAAAATCTTGTTGCTACAAAGACATGAGTTCTGTGTTGTGTCGTGTCAGATGGCCCAGATCAATTAGATCAGAGTGGTCTAGATGAATAAACTGGTGCTTGCTTGATTTATTTCTTTACTTGTTTTTACCTTATCTTGTTCCAAAAATGTTTGGGGAGATATTAATAGTGAGATGAGTGTTATGAAAGTATAAAATAACAGCTATAAGAAACTGAGGTAAAAGAAAAAAATATGGATAGGAAAATTAGATGAATCCAAGGACTAGTGTGGAGGCCTTCAGTCTATTCAAGGGAGCCATCCACTTGGTTCGGAGGCTTACAAGATGGGAAAGCAAAGAAACACTGTTTGTTGTAAGATTTTATGTCCACACAGTTTTTGGGGGATAGCTCAGGAGAAACATGATTTTTCTGTTGCTGAGACCTTGGAGAGACTTCTCCCATGCATCACTGTGGAGAGGGTGCCCCTTCTTCACATCTTCAACAGGTGACACAAGGGCAGGAGAGCTACTGTGTAAAGGATGTCACATAATGATAGTGACAATAATAAGAGTAACTCACAACCGCATTCCACTTTGCAGCCTAAAAAGCATGTTCAAATATAGAGTCACAACAACCTTATGCCATGGCTATAATCATAATTATTACTATCATTTTCCCTTATAAGACATGAAGAGTTAGTATGACTTACTCAAGGATTCATAAATAGTAAAAATAGGACTAGAAATACGTCATCAGATTCAGAATACCATGTTCTAAAATTATTCAATAATTTAAGAAATATTTCATGTTTTTATAATATATAATTAGGCTGAACACTAACAGAATTACTTTTTTTTTGTTTCTCCAAATGGTAATTTCACGTGTTCAATATACTTTTATGAATAAAAATCTGTGTATGAGGTTGAACCATACAAATTGTCATTTTTGTAGATCAAAAATGGTTAATATAATAATATAGTGTATAGTGTGGTGAGGAGGGAGAGAGAGCAAAAGAAAGATAGGGAGGGGTGAAAAAGAGAGACAGAGATAGAGAGACAGAGAGAGACAGAGAGAGGATGAACAGATACATGAGTATGTCCACTGGGTAACTGCTTGATATTTTTTTATGAGATAATTCCTTTGGTAGGGAGGGGACCTTCCCACTCCAGCAAGTGACAACTTCCTTCCACTAGCCTTTCTCGATCATCCAGTCCCACTGCCACAAGGAAAATGATAGCACCCAAATCTTCAAATCACCCATTAAAACAAGACAGCATATGCAGAATAGAAAGAGGTGCCCTGCTCAACAGGAGGGGGAAACACAGCAGAGAACCCGCTCCTTGCTTCTACTGGGTCCGTGTGATCTCTTGCACCTTTATTTTCTGAAGGAGGGTCTGAGAAGTCGCAAACTAGGAATGGATTCCAAACAGCGCCTCGTTATGATAAAATCCCCTACTGCAAAAATACTGACTACCCCACGGAGTTCATTACAATAGCATCTGACCTGTATTTCTAGCCAGCTAAGTCTTAACTTCTCTGGGAAATACAAAAAACAGCCCAGGGGAAACCATTTTGTCAATTCTGTTGCTTGTGTCTAAAAACAGCAGTCTACGATCTTGTGTTGTCTTTTTCAAACTAGTCTGATGCGGCCAGGCTGTGCCCGGAGCAATCACTTGCCAGAGTCATTCGCAAGAAATAAAAGCCAAGCCTCTTGGTCAAGTTGATTTGCATTACGGCCATTCTGATGCAGAGTATCAGAAACCGGCATCTTTACTGCTTTTGCTCTCACACTACTTCAAAAAAGGCCAAACAGATGTTTTTTCAATTTCACATACAAACTTCACTTCCTGGCGGTAGCAGTGTGTGCCAAGTTCCAGCTCAGTGCAAATTTTTATGGCTGAATTCTAAACCCCTGACAATAGGGGGTTATAGTGAAATGCTGACAGACCCCTTAGCGCCAACAAATGCAATGGCTCAATGCAAAGGAGGATATGGTGCCCGGTGAGTTCCAACTGGGACTGTGCAAGCCAGTCAATCTTTATAAGAAGAAAAGTGGTTTTTCCTTAACTCCCCATGTTCACAGAGGTTTGGGGGCCAGAAGTATTTGCCTTTTCTTTGGCCTCTATCTGTAGAAAGAGAGAGATGTCCAGAGAAATTCTCAGTTGCAAGTATATATGAGCAGCTTTCCTAAAATGGTGCACTCTGGTGTCCCCAAAGATGTCCCCAAAGACTCGACAAGCTTGCAATACTCATGGGACCACTTCTTCCAGAGCAGAATCGCCACCAAGCAATTCCAAATTTGGGACAGAATCTGTACAGAAATCCAAACTGTGTTCAGGGATTCCTATTTCATTTACATCGTCTTAGACTATGCCCTGGGGCTCAATATTTTTATATTTTCAAAAATAAATATCAAGACATTTATTCTATTGTAGAGTATTAAATGATGATTATAGAAAATTTAGAACATATGGAAGTAGTTTCACAAAGAAAGCGTACTCCCACCATAAAAAACAACCTTGTTAACATTTTGACATATTGCTATTGTCTTTTTCTCCAGCAAAGAAAAAAATCCTATTACAATAGTAACATTCTCATTATGCACAATTTAAAAAGCATGTAAATATAAAAAAGAAAAGAAAAATGACACTATTTCTGTGTGGGCATGACTATTGTTAACTTTTAAAGTATGGCTTTCCAGCTATAGATGGATACGTTTTGGAAATTGCAGTGTCTACTCTGATGCACACCTAATGGGATTCTGCCACGAGATCAATGAAAGAGGGAATGGAAGAAAAGTGGCAAAATTATCAAAGTCACAGATATGAAGCTAGGCTCCATAAAATCTGTCAATGATGCAGACCTGTATCCTAAGAATGGAGAACGGATATGAGGAGTGATGTTTGCTTTGCGAAGTTCACTGCAATCAATAAGCTTTCCCCAGGAATTTGAGAATTTATTAGTCTCTGCTTTTTTTGTTAGCAGAAAGGTCAAAAGGCAACCTTGTTTGCAGGTAGTAAAGCCCTAAATCGAAGAGGAACATTAACACGCAGGAAAGCTGTTATGCCTATTGTTAAGGGTTATATTATTTTTTTAACCCCCCCAAAATGGAGAGTTTCCATTTGTTTATTTTAACAGCTTTGCTTTCTGCTACATCAAAGTAACGCATGTTCATTGCAGAAAACTTTGAAAATATGGACAAGTGAAAGGAGTAAATTTAAGAACATTCATAATCCACCGGCCAGAGAGAACACTGTTAAAAGTTTGGATGTATATCGCATCCTTCTAAACTTTTGCTTTGTATGTTTTCTTAAAAAATAAAATTGGGCTTGACGTACATGTTATGACATAATTTGCATTATTCATCTGAGGAGGCATATCTTTCTGAGTTGTCGAATATTCTTCTCCAACATTAGCTTTAATATTTGCATAGCATTCTATTTTATAGACTGAATATACTTTACCCTGTTGCTTGGTCACTTCCATTTTTTTTTTTCCAGTTTCTCACAATTGTAAAAATGCCCTTGAATCTATTTTTTTTTTGTTTGCAAATTTATGATTATCTCCTTGGGATTAATTTCTCAAAATTAAATTACTAGGTTAAAAAAATATGCATATTTTAAAACGCTTTGATTTTAAATACACATTGCCAAAAATCCCCCCAAAGAGATGAATGCTCCCCTTAGAAAAGGAAGAGTATCTGTTTCCCTGCCCTGTTCATTTCTTCTTAATCTTTGTCAATTTGCTAAAGTGGAAAGTATCCTCTCGTTGCTGTTTTAATTTGCATTTGATTACTAAACAGTTTGAACGTTTTTAGGTCTTTTGGTCATTTTCGTTCCTGTTTCCTTTTGTGACTTTGTTTTGCCTATCCTTTGCCCACTTTTCTTATCAGGATGTTTTTCTTTTCTCTAATTAATTTATAAAAAACTTATTATCTATCGAGGATATGAACATATCTAGATAATTATCAGGAATATTTTTCCTAATTTGTCATTTGCCTTTTCTATGTGTGTTACAGAAGTTTTGTCATGTGGCCAGTCTTATCTTGTGATGTTCTGAGGTTGAAAGGATTATGTAAATTATATAACCTTCCTAATTTTTCTACTAGAGCCTTTATAATTTTGTTTTAGCAAATAACTCATTAATCCACTTACATTTACTTTAGTGTTTAACACGAGGAAGCGCTTTAAATTTCCGTCTCCGGGGGACTTGTGTATTGTTCCCAAGCATTTATGTCCCCATTAATTTGAAACGTCGCCTTTATTAAGTTTCAGTTCTCATATATATCCAGGTCTGTTTCTGGCCTCTTTTTTCTCCAAGGATTTGTCTGCCTATTTCTATGCTAGTATAACACTGGCTTCACAGATGTAGATTTTTCGTTCAGTTTTAATATCTGTTAAGATAAATGCCTCCTAAGTACTTTTGAAGTATTAACAAGACTTTCTGGTTCTTACACTGTTGTTGCTTTTTAAATAAATAAACATAGAAATTGTGTTTGTTGACGTATACAAATTAAAATTCTTTTGGGATTTTGAATATAGTCTCATTACATTCTAAATTAATTTGGACCTTAGTTTAGCATTTTACAAAAATTTTGCAAAAACTGTTTGAAATGGGCATGTTGTAGCTCTGTGCTTATTCAACTCTGCAACAGTTGTTTTATGTCACTTAGTAAAGTCTGAGGTGACTCTTCTACTAAGAGGCAGCCACCTTTGACCTGATGAAGCCACTTTAGGTTGAGGTCTGTTATTTAGAAAAGAAATATTTGTAAAAGTGAGTGCTGCACTGAATATAAAGGGAATCAAGGTGTATATGTAGGCCCAATCTCCTTATAAAAACCCTCCTCTATCACAGTGTAGGAGGGGAGGTGGTGCTATTTCAGACACAGAAACTGAGATGCTATCCTGGTGCCCACATGGTTCACATAGCATGGCAGAGATTGGACTGTTGTTGGAATCAGGGCCTCCTGAGTCTCAGCTTTCCTTTGGCCTCTAATTCTGTGCCTTACACAAAGGGGAAAGGTCCTCGACCCCATTTCGTTGATGCTAAAGCCAATGTTAAAAGAGGAGATTTTGCTTGAGCGTATGAATATAATCCACTCCCAATGTTTAACCCTGCATCCTATTCTATAATAGTGAGTTAGCCCAATTTTTCCCTCATTTTCATCTTCAAGTTTTATGTGAGATTCTTCCAAGACTTTATCTTCCTTTCCAATTCTTTTGATTCATGTTACTTGAGGAAAGGCAGAGATGTGCTCAGATGCTTCCTTCTGCATAGCTCTTTAAATCAGGACTTACCTAAGGATGAGCAGTTTTTAGATAAAGCTCTTTATTCGAAGTCTTTGGTTTTTCTATACAAGACATCATATTGGAGGTATGCTGTATGATTGCTTTATATATGCAATTGTGTGACCATAGTGCAAAGTATATCTTTATAGTGAGAGGGGAGAAATGGGGATGGAGTCTTACACAGGTCATCAGAACAGTTGACCTTCAATTCACCTTGTACTTGGTCTTTGAACTGTAAGCCACACTCATGTTCTCACTTGCAAAATTTACTTTGTGGAGTAGCTGGGTCACTAAAGATACAAAGCAGAAGTTTGCACTCCCATCCTTGACCATTAGGTTCCAGTAATTCTTGTACCGAGTCATGTGACAGTTCAGAATTCTGGAGAATGTGCTAAAATAAGTCCCTGGAACTTGACCTTATTCCACAGGATGCTGTATCTGACAATTTTACCCTTGTGAACTCTAGTTTACCCCTTACTTGAGCTAGTTGAACATAGAAGATAAAATTATCTTCTTGTATGATGTAACTTGGTAGAGTATCTGACATTAAGAGGTAGGGCATTTCATTGTGGAAATTGCCTTTATTTTTCTTGGAAATTACAACACTTAGCTTTTGGCTTCCTTTAAGTAATTTTATTGTTAATATTGGTGTTTTTTCTGCACATTACATCAGAGGGGTCTGACTTGCAGCTTCATTTCCCAGGAGCTCTGAAAGTAGAGAGAGAGGGAGGTAATCTAGATGTTAATAAACGTTTACATTTAATGAGGCAGTGGCCCATAGAGATGGCACTCTCAGAGATGTTAACCCCATAGATCAAACCTCTGGAGCCCTGAGAATTGCCAGGGAAGCATAGAGCTCCCAGACAGGACTTCTCTTTAGGGTAAAAAAGTGGTTTCCATTCTTGAGTAGATTTGATGATTTTTCAGATGTTGGTCTAAGTGTTCTTTGTCAAGCTTCTACTCATGAACAAAGACCTATCATAGTATTACCTCCTGCTGCTGCCTTCCTGACTCCCCGGCAGAAGAGCACTCTGCCTGCTGAGTCTCCCTAGCACTGTGTACATTCCTCCAGTAGGGCTGTTACCCTAATCATTGTTTTGTTCGTATGTTTCCCCCACAGGGCAGGGCAGGGATGCTGTCACATTCAATTTGTTTTAATTCCTAGAATCTAGGACAGTGCCTGGAGTGAATGAGTAATTTCTCGATGAATGTGTACAGGTCGTGTGTCCTGAAGAAAGAACTTAACTCCTCAGTTTGTCCCTTCCTAAGAGGATTGTGCCTTTGCTTTCCAGTCATGTCATCAAGTCCCACTGTTGGATCTTCTAGCACGTCCTCCATCCTCCCATTTTCCTCTTCAGTTTTTCCTGCTGTCAAACAGAAGAGTGCCTTTGCCCCTGTCATCAGGCCACAAGGCTCCCCTTCACCTGCCTGCTCCAGTGGCAATGGAAATGGATTCAGAGGTAAGCAAGGGCCCACTTTGGTACCACCACGATAAATGGGCCACAGGGCCAGCAAAGTAAGAGCAAACAGCACAGCATCACTCCCTATCTCTAGCTATTTACTTACAAAGAGATGCTTTGGTGTTTCCATCATGGGACACAGATGGCTTGTAGAACTGAGCTAGTACACCACCTGAGAACAAGATGGGGGAAAACAGAGAAGTTGGACAGCTCTTCAAGATCACAGAATTAACTATGGTAGAGCCATATATACCCTCCAGGAATGTCTGGACTTCCCAGACCTTTGCTTTCCACAGGGCCATGTCACGATTTACCAGAAGGTGTCTAGTCACATCAGATACCACATGGTGATTGCTGCTTATCTGATTGGCTTGCCCATCTGCAGTACAGACCTATTCCCATGGCATACATGGACAGAATCCATCAGGAGCAACCAGCACATTGTGAGAATTCTGGTTACATGCCAGTCAAATTGATAGCAGGTGTCGGATCAGGGGTGGAGCAGGGAAGAAAGAAGAAAAAGACATACACTGTCTAAGTACAAAATTAATATCACCCATCAAACCCATTTTTGAGCAATGTCTGAAAATATAGTATGACATAACATAACACAAATGTGATTAAGTACATAAGAATCTAATCACTTCACTGTGAATGGGAGGCAGCTGATGGCAAAAGAGCAAATTGGAACCTGCTGAACACTACAGATCCCGACGACCCACATTATTGTTAGGCTCTTCTTTGAGTCTTTACATGAAAACATTCATGACAAGCAAGTGTTAGATAAAACCAAGCAGGGCAGAGGTTGGATTAACCCCTCGTGGATCAAAGCCTCTGAGGTCAGCAGAGCCTCGGATGAGCTGTGCCATCCCTGGGATGGCATCTGCCTAGTAGCTTTACGGTTGTGCATAGATTCCTGATCCTCTGGGTCACCTGCGAGGGTTCATCTGCCAGTTGTGGCTGAGCAGAGCTCTGGGAGGTATGATAGGTTCCTGTCCCATTCTACCATAAGAGACAGGGGTGTCTCCTCAAAGTCAAGTGACTTGACAGAGAAACTGTGAAATGGGAACTGAAAAGCCAGCACTCAGAAGAGTCCATGAAAATTCTTTTACTTCCATCTAGACAAAGCAGCTGGGTAACATGCTACCCAATGTGTGAGTAGTTGGAAACATCCGTCTGTTTGAGGGGGAGGAATTTCATTTTCATCTAGATGTCTGATTCTTAGAGAAACAGGCTCAGCCTGTAGCTCAGTGTCGCCAACTGCCCCAGATCTTCTCAAGGACCATTGGTTTCCATCGCATCCCTGGGAGATATGCTCATAACTTTTTCTATGAGTGGCTTCATCTCCAGACTGGGAAATGTATGCAAATGTTAAGTATTGGTTGTATCTTTCCCTTCTGCATGCCCGCTTCAGTGACAATGTCTCCTCTTTCTAAGTTCTGTGGTTTTAGTCACGTCCCTTAACAAAGTGGGGGCCCCACAGGTCTCATTGGGGAAATGCAGAGTGGGGGGCACCACAGAAGGCTAAGAGGGAGTGCAGGTGTAGGCGGAAATCGGGAGGGATTCCTTGTTCCAGGCAACCCTGGCCAACATTTTCAGCTTCACTTTGAGGAGAAAAAGTATAACTTGACTTCCACTTACCACCCCTCCCTCACCTCCTCTCTCACTCAGTTGGGGAAGTTGAGCTGGTTGTTTCAGATCTTCTAGGTCTATACTGTCCAGAGAGACTCACATGTGGGGCCTCCTGGCTTTTGCCCCCAGGGATGCCAGGATGAATTTTTCACTGGCTCCCATGGCCTGGAATCCCTACCCTGCCTGTTGCTGCATGCCCAAGTCTTGCTGTGGTATTACCCGCTCAGGGCTGAGTTGGCCCAAATTGCTGGAAGGGTCTTTGTGGTCACAGTGAGGTTTCTCTGCGGGGGCAGCAGTAGCCAAAATAGCCATAAGACCCTCTCTAGGGTCCTTGGCCATGTGAACTCCTGGTCAGCACAGGTCAGAATAAAGAGGCTGAGGTAGTGTCTGTGGGAGTGACGATGTCATCAGTTACACGTAGGCTTTGGGATCTAGTCTCATTTCTATAGAATCACTGAGAAGTCCTGAGCCTCTTTTGGATCCTACAATTCCCTCTAAATTTCTCTGGTGATTTGAACCTTAAGAAGAAGAAGGAAGACAGGGAAAGGAGGGGGAGGATGGGGGGCAGCGCCTAAATTAGTACAGACTGCCACGTTTCCTCATTTTGTATCAGGTGGCTAGAAGCTCCAGGTCCAATGCTACAAGGTGTCCCACTGATGCATAGAGGGAGGAAAACAAGCTGACATCAAATGCTCTCTCCAGCCATAGTCACTGAGTGAAGGAATCCTGGGATTGCAGGGGTGATCAGCACAAAGCTTCACCTCTTTAGAGACAGACAGTGGGAGAGTAAAAGTGTGGTCTGAAGTGCTGGGGTGATCACAGGCTGATGGAGAGGTTCTTCTCTCGACTTACAAGGTGAGATGGTCTCAATCATCTACAGAGGCCACGTGCCACCAACCCTCTCTGAGACTTGCTGGTTTTGAGCACCACGTGCAAGACGCCGAGCCAAGCGCTTTACATGAATTATTTTGCTCAAGCCTCACATGTGACCGAAAGGGGAAGGTCATACCATTATCATCATTTTTAGTGAAGTCGTTTTCACAAGGCCACACAGTAAGATGACCTCAGACATTTTGACTCCAGAGCCTGTGCTGTGACAGCCCACTATCTCTCTAGGGACAAGAGCAGTGCAGTTCCTCTCCTCACCCTTTACCCATACCTGCTTTTCACCTGGACCAAAGGAGGGTTCTTGCCTTCCCATGAAATACCAAAGGTAGAAAGAAATTGGACAAAATGCAGTTCAGCATGCTTCCCTTCCCTACCAGTGAACATGCTTACTTTTTCTCCAGTTAACTTTTGCTTTCTGTCTGTTGGCAGTGGTTTCTACAAGCAAAAAGTCAGGGTCACCATGTAGCAGAGATCCAGCTCACCTAGTGCCCGATGTGAGAGTAGGAAGAAGGGAAATATGTGAAATCTGCTGGTCTTCCGGCACACACTGGATCTTCTTCTTTGAGCGGCTCTGCCCTTTTAATAAGCTCCTTAGGTAACTCTGTGAGGACCCAGAAAAAAGAAGGGGCTGATGAGTTTTAAGTGTAATAGACAAGTTAAAGTTGAAAATGTGAACCAGAATCCTACCACCAGAGAGCTGTATGTGCAGTGTTCACTGTCCCACCTTTACCTCATTTACCAGGCATTTTGCAGTGATGAGTATAGATTGTCGAGATAATATTATGCACTATGTGCCTGATTCATTTTCCAGCTCCCTCCAGGAAAAGAAATTAAAAAAAAAACAAAAAACAAAAAACCTCCTACACTCTGGGATAATTACCAGGGTTGCTGTCTCCAAATCATCAGGGAGTGTCCAGAATTGAACTGCCTTTATTGAAAAGTTACATCGATTCAATATATAGTAATACAGGCAAAAATAATTAAGGCTTTGCTAGCTGTGTAAGACCTTAATCCAGATCTCACAAACATTCAATAAAGGCTGTATGGGCAGGGAACTAGACGGCTGACAATTTTGCCCGAGAAGACTTAGCTAGCATGGAGAGAAGGGGCGGAAGAAGAGGAGCAGGGGGAGGAGTGAGAGGTGGGGGCGGGGGCAAGCAGGAAGAATTTTGGCCATTTGCTTATCAGCTTAGTAAGCACCACTCAGGGAAATGCTTCTATGATAATTGATAAGCTCTAGATGAGCCAGAGACAATAAAACTCAAGGGATCAAATACTAGATATGGTTTGAAGTTTTGAGGAAAGGAAACTATTCGGCCGATTTCCAAGAATGTGGAAATTCTATGGGTTCCTCACCTGAAAGCCAAGGTCAGAGGGGTGCATTTTGCTGTGTGATTTTTTTCCCCTTTGTGCTGATGCTGCTCTGGGGAAGCCTTGGACCCGATGCCCCCCACAGGTATTGTCTGTGTCCTCTTCACTAGACGGAGAAGACATTGGGCACTACCAGTGGATGGAAGGGGTGAAGAGTGGAGATTGGGTGACTCCCAAATTAGGAACTAAATAAAGTCTTCTATTCCAGTGGATCATCATTCATTAGTGAACAAGCATCACATACCAGCAGTGAAAGCCAAAGGAAGATGAGCTAGTTAGGGGAAGAAAAAAAAAAAAGCTCATCACATTTCAGCTGGAATGGATAGAAACCTAGGGTGCATAGAAAGCCTTGCTTGTTATAAATGATGCATGGAAAGTTACTCAATGGCTCGGCACCTGGGGTTTTCTTTCCTGTTTCAATAGGTGATTTGAAACCATATAATCTAGAAATTATGATAGTCTAATGATGAAAAATAAATATATCGCAACTACATTAAAACTTAGCTCACGTGTTTATGTCTATCATGTCAAGTATACAACCCATTAATATAAAACAAGACAAAACATAGCTCTTGGCCTCGCCACAAAACTTCAACAAGCCTTGTTTATATTGCAGTGATTCTGTAAGGCTTCGGTGCTACTGACAGGCTGTGTGCTAGATCAAACCTGGAGAAAATGGGTTCCCACATCAGCTGATGCACCATTTCCCTGGGTTGTACCAGACTCTGTCAGTCCCCACTGCTGCCCCTCTCTCTGGGTTGGAGACATAAGTGTAAACATCTGAGTCTCATTACTATACCACTCTTTCCTTGCAGCCATGACCGGACTTGTCGTGCCCCCAATGTAAAGAAGAGGAAGAACTGCTTTCTTATAGCACAAAACTACTTACTCTGATGGACCAATAATGAAGAAAGCACTAGGAGCTCTTTGGGGAGAGTTGTGCCCCAGAATGAACATGACGGACAGATTTGGGTATGCAAGGAGCTGCATTTTACCTGGTCTCACGTTTCTCATCTAGCTCTCATGGTGGCTACACAAACTGACCCTCTTGGGGACAAGGACAAAAGATGTCATTGACGTAGTCAGTGCTAAGAGCAGAAATGCAATTCTTTGTTATGAACATTATGAGAACCACCTTCCTATGTTTGTAAAATATTTAAGAAAAAAATTGGCAAACAATTCATGCTTAATATTTTGGATACTATTTGTTTTTCTTTGTAGGAAAAAAAAAGTTGAAAGTTTCTATTTTCTATGAAGCCTTTCAGATACCAATTTAGTTTATGCAGAAAAAAAAAATTGAACAAAACAGGGTACCAGCATGGAAGACTTTCTTAAACGAAACCTGAATTGAATGATGAAATGTTGTTGTATGTGTGTTTGCTTATAGTTTAATCTCTTTAAAAAACAACAAAAAAAAAAACCCACAAAAAAAGGGAAAAATTTTAAAATGTTTTACAATTATTTAAATAAATAAACGTGTAACTTATTGTAAGTAGAGGTAGAAATTAAGACCTTTTCGGAAGAGAGAGGAATTTCTCTTCCTGATGTAAAATGAAAATGATGCAAACCAGTAGTAACAAGTTTAAAAGGTGTGTGATTATTACTGCAGTTACTTACTAGACTTTTATCCCCCATCCTGCATCCCCCTCTTTTTTCCATCATTTTATTGACCCATGGGCAAGAACATGTACCTTATATAGATTCCTATAGAACAGCCCGATGCAGAAACAGTGATTCAGTCCATGCACGTACACAAATACTCAAACTCATCAATTCATTCCCAGCTCCGTCCACTTTCTAAATAGTCTACATGTCCCTTTTGGTATTCACTCTTTGTGACTTTTAAAAAAAATTTATATTAGCCTTCAGCCTTCTCCTCCGAGCAGTGCAGAGAATTCCCATGTTGTAGTGTGTCCCAGGCTTTGCATCCTGGGTGGAGACATGTGTCTCACCTAAAAGAAGAGCCAAAGCCGTGTGACTTTCCCAACCGAGTGGCCCCTTTGGAATTCTCCCTTGACAGAGCCACACGTGCCCTCCTCTTTTGTGACCTGGTTGAGCACAGAGGTGTGAGCCCCACAGAACTTCAGAGACAGGATTTAAGGAAGATGATCCTGTTTCTTGGACTCTTAAGCATGAATCTTAGAATGTCCATGTCCTTTCTTCTCTCTGCAGATTTCCCCTCTCCTGGCATTCAACTCTCTTGAAAAAAAAATATGTATCTTCCTTAACACAGTTTCCAGGCAAGAATGGGATGGTGTGTGGAAGAGGAATGTTAAAAGCCCTAAAACCCTCTCCTAATGTTCAGAAAGATGGAAACCTAGATTCTTAGCAGGGTTAGTGATTAGGGGCATCTGTGTTCCAAGCAGCGCAGTGACCCAGGGTTGCAGTGGGCTCTCTATACTTCTGGAACCAGCTCTTAGGCAGAGAAACGTTGCAGGAGCTGCTAAGAGTGGCTGAGTCTTGAAAGTCTGTGTGATCCTGAAGGTGTATCCAGACTTATTTGGATTTCCAATAAGGATATGCCATTTTTTCATAGTTGGATATCCAATAAGGGCTCTCCTTGTTTACTCATTGGTACCATAGTACAGTCCATATACAGATTTCGGTTTGGGGTTCTAACAGTAGAAGTTGTTGCAGGTCTCATAGAAAAACATCTTTAGTGCATCTGAGCCAATTTTAGATGACTTCACAAATCCCACCTTCCTTCTGTTTGTCCCATTGATACCTGCCCACGGCTATCCAGCCCCCAACAGTCTCATTTGCCTTTTACTCAATATGACCCAAATATTATTTCTATGTACACGAGAATCCAAGGTTTGGGAAACCTGGCATGCTTATAATTACTGCTGTCAGTCCTTTGTGGTCAGGTCTTATAGCACCAAAACACAGGAAACACACGAGAGAAAGTTCCCCCATGAAAAATCCGATCAAAGAGGAAGCATGTGTGGAATACGAACATCACCATCCCAAAGTGAAGGCAGAACAAAACTAAGCATGTTTAGACCTGGATTCAAGCCAATCCAACATAAGGAAATGTTTTTTTTAAGTAGCATTGCTTTTAGAATCTGTGAATTTTGCTCTTGCATGAAGATGAGTGCAGTACTGTCTTCAAACTGATTGTAGAATTTGTTGGTAGCTTTACACCGAAAAATGTGTGTAACTAAATACCAGACATCCTTGACCATTCAGCTAGAACCTTGGCAGCAACAGATCTATTTAATTGTACAAATGTGTGTAAGGATTATTTTTAGTGTACTAATAAATTAAAAACAAAGCTACTCTGTCCTCTTCAGTCTTGCTGTTGAATCATTCCAGTCCCAGGTTATTTTTGTGCCACTTGGAATACGAGTATTTCTATAGGTAACTACAAATTCTATCCTATCTTTGTAAGAGGAGCTGTGTAAGATTTTCCATTTAAAGGGACAATTTACTTCATTATTTATCTCATTTTTTGTTATAGCATCATATTTTTTTTCCAGTTTTTCTTTGCACATCTCAATATGCATGGTTTAAAAACCATTATCTTCTCTACCTTTTGTACAGTAAGGTCTCATTTTCAAACTGTATAGTTTCTTTTTATCATTTTGCTTTGTCAGTTATATACAGTATAAAGTTGCTATGCACAGAGCTTTTTGTAAAGACAGCTTTTTTGTTTACTGTTTTTAATGGTCTTACTTATTAAAGAATATCTTGTTTGTAAAATGAATATGTCTACTTCAGTTTTAAACTTTAAATTATCCTAACGAAAAATAAAATTTTTGTACTGTAAAAATGATTGGAACTTTGCCTTTTTTTTTCCTGAAGTGAAAAAAATTAGTTTGGGATTTGTTCTTAAGTTTGGGGATTTTCTCATAACTGCTAGTCCCTGAGCTCTGGTTGAGGAAATCTTACTACAGCTTTTGCTTACACGGAAAGTGTTCTGAGGTGCTCACTTGGAGGAAAGAATATGTTTGATTTTAGGTCATTTTTCTGTATGTATTTACCTATATATCCATCTGGTCAAATTCCTTCATAAAAACTCAAAAGGATCCTACTTCCTAGGTTGGTCTTTTGCTGTATGGAATTCTTGAGGTAGGTGGGTAGTCTACTTAGGTTTGAAACTGCGTGTTGAACAAATGTTTGAATTGATCCATCAGATGGTGAAGAATTGGAGGCTGGACTCAAAGGCTTGAGGCCAATCTTAGATCACAAGAAGAGAGCAAGATGCAAATCCCTGGAAGGGACTGATCCATAGGCAATGACTTATACAGGAAGATAGAAGGGCTGCAGGGGCTCGGAGAATTCAACTATCACAGAGGGTTGCAGCGGTCAGAGAAGGTTCCATGGGGGAGGCAGGGCTGGACAGGCCTTCTAAGAATGGTAGGAATTTTGTGGCAGATGTTGGTAGTGAGCACTGCGGATGGGAAGGCCATCACGAACAAAGACCTGTAGAAAGAAATTCACGAAGCGCATTTAGGTGAATGTGATGCTAAATGTCATTTTCCAGCAGACTGTTCACAAGCACACACATGATTGGATTATCTCATTTCTCTCTACAAGGGTATAGTTATCTTGAAAATACATAAATTGTGTCCCTTGCATGAGTGGATGAGATGCTCTTTCTGAGCACTACTCTGAGAAAGCCCCCACTGCTGTTTTGCTTTTCTCTATGAAGAATAGCCCTCTGCCTAGACAGTGCTCGCCCTTCTCATGGGAAGGGGCTTGCTCTTTGCAGCCTGGTGTCTTCTCATCCTTCAGGCCTGAGTTCAAGTATCTTCTACTCGTGGAGGCCTTGGCTGACTTCTGACCATGCAAGTTTCCCACTTACTCTCTTTAACTTAACTCTGCTTGTGTCCTCATCACAATTTGTATTCAATTGTTGTGTGTTTTAGACTGAAGACTCATAAGCACAAGGGCCTCATCACTCTCAGTACTTCCTGTAGAGCACCAAGTTCAGTGCTGAGGTGCCTAACAGATACCTGTTAAATTGGTGAATGAGCACATTGGATTCTGAGCCCCAGAGGTGGCTCTGCCTTGTGTGGGAGAGGTAGCTGATCTGTCACAAATGAGCGGAAATAGCACCACTTGGAGAGTCCACTCCTTAGGGACGATCTCGTCAGCCAACTAATCAAAAAAAGTGATGAAGTGCATCTATAATGTAAAGTGGCTGGTTGCTTAATAAACATAGAAATCTCAAAATGGGAGGAAGTGAGGAAGCCTCCAGCTGGTAGCCTGTTGGCTCAGTTGTTTTGCCCCTTGGCCCTGGAACTTATCCCATGTGGATTTTCATGATGTTCAGATGTAATTCCAGAACCAGAACCAGGGCCTGTTAGGGAAATGTGCATTTCATTCCCGTTCCAGATATGATACTTGACTTGTCAACCACACACTTGAATCGCAAAGAGCTTATAGCACCTTCACCAAACTGCAAGTTCACGTTGGCTATAGGGCAGTGAATGTGAGAGGGTGAATATGAGACTTTACAGATGAGGTAGAAGCAAGGTCCTAAAGGATCTTGCTCACCATGCCAGAGAGTTTAGACTGCAACCCCATGACTATGCAGCAGGTAATGGGAAACCTCCAGGAACCTGAGTCAAGGAGTGACACGATACACTTTATGCTGTAGAAAAATCATAGTAGCTACAGTGTGGATTATGGATTGAAGCAAGTGGATATTGGAGGCAAGGAGACCAAGCAGACGAGGGACAAAAGAGGGCTGATATGTACCAGTGTGCTGTACCAGTGCCCATGACAGATACCCATTTTGACTGGTCAGCACCTGTGCATGCCAGCCAAGAAGTGTTTTTAAGTGACTCCTGCAATTAGGACAGCATTGTAATAATCCCGATAAGAGTGACTCATACCTGACCTAAGGATTGCCAGTAGAGATGGAAAGTAGTGGAAAGATTTGAGAGAAAGACTTGCAGTTTGACAGGCCTTTACTGACTGATTAGATGTGGGAATGAGGGAGAAGACGGGGCTAGTATAAGTCCCAGTCTGTTAGTTAGACAATTGGATTCTATGTTAATATTTACTGAAGTTGGGAATAAACAGGAATGTATTGTGGGGAATGGAGAGATATAATGATTATAAATTGGGGCACAAACTGCTCTGGTTCCTTTTTTTCTTTCTTGGTTAGCCAAAGATTGTTTTCCCACAGTTTATTTAAGGACTCTGGAGAATTACACTCTTTGGTACATGCATATTTTTTTTTTAAAAAATGACAGCTCTATTTCTACTTGAATGGCTGTTCGGTTGGGTATAAAATTTCTGGAGTTACACTTTCTTTCTCTGAGAACTTCATATGAGAGGTATTTTGTAAAACAAGCTCCCAGGACTGAATGTTGCCATGCTGATGTCTGAAGTCATCCCTCTGCTTCTCATACCTATCTTTTATTCCCCTTATGTAAGCAGGGAAATCCTGTCATTTGTTGTGGACGTCATGACACTTCTGAGCGTGCAAGGGGACCTAGTAGATAATGATGCCTGGAAAACTTGCAAACTGGCAGTTGGTCACCCTTGATATTTTTATCTGCCTGCCTAAAAGTATCTTTCTTTGTAGATGAAGTCCAGTCATTTGTTGATAGTTCTGTGTATTTTTTTTCCCTTGGGATGCAGCATTCCCTCTCAATGTGTAGCTTCAAGGCTTCTTTCATTTTTGGAAACTTTTCCTTAATTGTAACATAAAATACATTTTCTCTTCCTTCATTCTGGTCCTTCTTGCTAGAGACTCCAGTTATTTGTATGCTGGATCTTCAGTGTCCATCATTCATAGCTATCATTGTCTCTTTAGCCACCCTTGACGCTTAGCGTACCTGTAGATTACTATTCACATGCTTGTCCTCTGTACTCCCTCAAATGTGGCCTTAATTTTTCAGATGCTTCTATTTTTTCCTTCACCTTTTCATAAGCTGTACCATCTTATATCCCATTGCTTTCTGCTGTGCTGCTTATTTTCTTTGAGCCAACACATTTCTGCTTTGAGCTATTGTTTTAGAGAGAAATTATTTTTTTATTGTTATTATGACAATGAGCTTGATCAGAATTATCATCATCTTCATGAAAACTTTTTTTTCTGGTGAGTGTTCATCACCTATCATTTGTTCTCTTTTTTCTTTTTTCCCTCTCATGGCTTATGCATATAAATCATGTTTTGATACCTTCTTGATAATACTCATCTTTGAAGTGAGTTTTTTCTGGATCAGCTATTTGCCAGGAGTTTGAGAGGGAAGGGTCTAGGACCATGTACCAGGCTAGCAGGAATTCTGATTTCAGAGGTGTACGTGTGTGTGTGTGTGTGTGTGTGTGTGTGTGTGTGTACAAGAGCAGAGAAAGAGAGAGACACTTGTTTTAGCTTTTGCCTCTTCTTGGGCAAAATGAAACAGCATGTATGCTATTGCTCATAGTGCATGCTTCTCTTCCTCACCAACTGACTACTTCTTACATATATGGCTTGCAGGACTTCCCACATCAGCCTTGCCCAGTGTGCTTTATGTCTCTGCCAAATGGGGTTCAGAGCTATCTCTACTATCAGACTACATGTTAATTCCAGTTGTTTCAACAACAGACCATTGGTTTTGTCCTTGGATAGTCACACCTCTTTCCCTCTGCTCTGTCTGACGGTAGCAGCTGAAACATCTTTCCTCGGTCTCCACACTTTCCTGTTTGACTCCCGCTGCCATTGCCACGCCTTCCCCATAAATTGTGATTTGAAGTAACCAATTTCCCTAGATTCATCCAAGATGAAACTCATGCCTCTCTTTCTCATTTCTCTATTTTTCTCTTGAGTGTTTCTGAGTGGGAATTGATGGAAAAGATCTTATGAGAGCATGTTAATCTGATGTCTTCATATTCTCTAAACCATAGTAATTCAAGAAGAAGGGATTGCTGCCTAGTGCTTTGAACCCCTTCATTCTACCTTTGACCTTGTAAGTTACCCTTGTAAACCAGCTCCTGAGGCCCAGACCAATGGCTACATTCTTCACTTTCTGCATTGGATTATGTCAAATACAAATAATAAAATACAAGTAATTCCCAAAACTACTACTGGAATTTGTTACAATGAATAATCTACAAAAAGGGACCCATGACCTGACTGTTGGAAATATGTTGAAGTGGCACATAAACTATTGTACCATCAGTGCTTTTGGTTACATCTGAAAGCTGATCCCACCTTGAATGGTAAAACTCTATTTTCCATAACATATGCATATAACATATGCACAGAAGACAGTGTGATAAAATGGAAATGGCTAGAATTCTGAGATCTGGATTCACATTCTACCATCCAACCAAGAACAACTAACACATATATATGTATACACATGTATTCACATGTATATCATATACATATCATATATACATTATATATTGTGGTCTTTGTTTTGCATTTGAGAAGATGAAGACTCAATGCAGTGATTTATTCAAGATTACATAACTAAAAATGTACATAGCTGAGGATTATATATACAAATATATATACACATATATGTATATATGTATCATTGTTATTATGATTAAATAAAAACACCTATGTACATTAAAGGACAAAAGCTCCATGAGTGCTGAATTTTTGTTTTTGGTCTTCACTGCTCTCTTCCCAACACCTAGAATAGTACTTGGCACAGTGGAGGCACTTAACAAAAAAATAACAATTGAATGAATATGTAAAATGCCCACATTCCAGAGAGGCTCCTTGAATTCAACAACAGCAGCTCCAGCAAGGGCTTCTGAGTCTCCTAGACTTGGGTCTGCAGCCCAGCTCTCCCTCTGGCCAGTGTGAGGACTG